AAGCTTGCAAGTGGCCATCTAAGATGCATCAATTGGTCCCAACCACCTGGAGTAAAGGAGAATGAAGAACATCAAAGACAAAAGGAAAGTATTGGGCCAAGAGACTGAAAGGGCCACATAAACCAGAGACTTCATCAGCCTGAGACCAGAAGAACTAGATAGTGCCTGGCTACCACCAGTGACAACCCTGACAGGGAACACAACAGAGTCCTTGATGGAGCAGAAAAAAGGTGGGGTGCAGATCTCAAATTATGGTAAGAAGACCACCCTTAATGGTCTGACTGAGAATGGAAGTATCCGGAAAGCATGGCCCCTGGATTCTCTATCAGCCCAGAACTAGAACAATTTCCTAGGCCAACTCTTCAGACAGGGATTGGACTAGACTGTGGGATATAAAGTGATACTCGTTAGGAGTGTGTCTCTTAGCTCAAGTAGATAGAAGAGACTAAACGGGCAGCTTCTGTCTGGAGGTGAGATGGGAAGGCAGAGAGGGTTAGGAGCTGATTGAATGGACATGGGGAATCTGGTGGAAAGGAGGAGTGTGCTGTTACTGTATGGGAAGAGCATTTAGAGTCACATAACAATGTATGCATAAATTTTTGTATGGGGGGAAAAGATTACAACCTAGGAAACCATGTGGGACAGTTCTGTAAGATGAAGTCACTATGAGTCTGAATGAACTTGTTGGCACAAAACAACAGGCAAAAGTAGGGAAACAACTTTTTGTTGTTTGACCAAACATTTTTTTTTTTTTTAATTTCTAATGGAGACGGATAACACGAGAACAGGATCAAATATGCAGATAAATATACCGACTTTTGTTCTAATCATTGACCTCAATTCTGCTTTTCTCTGCTAGTCTGTTTTTTTAAAGCAACAGTTTACCAAATTGTACAGTTAACTGTAGAGTAAGATTGCTGTTTCTTATGATGAAAGTGTTTGTATTTGTTGTTGTGTTTGTAAAATTGATCAATTTTTTTCTGTTTGTTTTAGTAACTATATCAAAGCGTGAGATATCAGTTCACAGAACCTAGAAAATCATCATGAAGTTATATGTATTTCTGGTCAATACTGGAACTACCCTAACATTTGACACTGAGCTTACAGTTCAAACGTGAGTTATTTTGTATATTCTCTGATCTTTCCATTTTGTATGCATGTAAAATATTTCAGAAAGTATAATTGATTTCAAGAAAACGAATCCATTATTAAGGAAGAGTAGCCATGTTCCAACTCTAAATCATTTATCCCAATGCCTTACATTTACAGTTGTCATCTTTCTCTGAAGTGCCAAAGTTGCCTTTTTTCAGTTGTCCTTTGTTCTGTTTGCATGAAAATATTATCCATAATAAACAAACCTACCTATAAGCAACAACAGAAAAACTGATTTCAAACAAAACTGTCATTATAAGTAAGTTCCTAAACACCTCATTCCTGTTGTTGGTCATCTGTATATCTCCGTTTTAAATTTTTTGGTTTTTGTTGTTGAGTTGTAGTTCTTTATATATTCTGGATATTAAATACTTTTCAGATCTGTCATTCCCAAATATTTTGTCCCATTCTGTAGATTCTCTCTTAGTTTCTTAATAAAGTTCTCTTCTCCTATTTTTTTCTTTGATCTTTTGTTTTTATTCCCTCATGTGAATAAATAGGATTTGTTTCATTTGTTGATGAGAGAATAAAATAAATTTCACTTTTTCATCCAGACTAGTGGTACTTCAACTTTGCAAGCGTTTTAAATATTTGATCATAAATTCCCTCCTGTTTGTGGAAAGGGGGGAGAGCTCTCAGACCTCCCAGAAAAGGGAAGGAAATAGACATAGTAAATATTATTTCTAAACCTGCTTATGTCTTAGTTTTAAATATGGAATTATGGAATTACTTTTTTTTTCTAAAGGACTAGTTTCCATTAAATATAGTTCTACAGGAAAGAGTTTTTTGAAAAATACGAGAAGAAAGGAAATTTCATGTGGTTTGGACTTCGTATAGTTTGTGTAATATTTTCTGAGGAGTTTAACACACTGATGCTAATTGAGCATATTCTTTTGCTGTATTATATTTACAGCACAAATATAATTGCGTGTACTGTCTATTTCATAGACATATTTTATAGATGTGGCATGCAGATGCTTTATTCATCCAAGATCAGCCAGTTGATTATAGAATCCAACTGAAGAAATAAGCTTATGTTTTTTACGTATGTTTTGGGGGAAGTTCTAATAATTCATATTTAGAGTTAAAGTCATTAGAGTAAAAATACTTGTGATTGGAACAAATGTAAACAAAAGTTTTTTTTTTTCTTTTAAGTGTGGCAGACCTTAAGCATGCCATTCAAAGTAAATACAAGATTGCTGTTCAGCACCAGGTGCTGGTGGTCAATGGAGGAGAATGCATGGCTGCAGATCGAAGAGTGTGTACCTACAGCGCCGGGACGGTAGGTGTCCAAGAGCCCTTTTGTACAAGGATGCTCCAACTTCCCCATTAGATTGAGAGGTGGGAACTCAACATTCAAAAGTAAGATTTATGTGCTACATGTGTAAGTGCAATATGAAAGTTTTATTTTGATTTTGAGTATTAGAGTAACTGTCAGATCATACGTATTATTTCCCATTTTTAAACATGTTTTTGTTTTTAATATAGGACACAAATCCAATTTTTCTTTTTAATAAAGAAATGATCTTATGTGATCGTCCACCGGCTATTCCTAAAACTACCTTTTCAACTGAAAATGACATGGAAATAAAAGTTGAAGAGTCTCTTATGATGCCTGCAGTTTTTCACACTGTAGCTTCAAGGACACAACTTGCAGTGGTAAGATACAAACAGTTATTTTTTGAGACTACAATATAATTCATTAGTTGCATCTAATAGAGTTTAAAAATGTTGTTGTTCGTTGCCATCACATTGGCTCTGACTCACGACAAACCCATGTACAACAGAATAAAACGCTGCCTGGTCGTGCACCATCCTCGTGATTATTGGCACGTTTGATTCTTTCGGACAGTATTCTCTCGTGATCCATAGGGTTCTCATTGGCTAATTTTTTGGAAGTAGATTGCCAGGCATTTTTTCCTAATCTGTCTTTGTCTGGAAGTTCAGCTGAAACATGTCCACCGTGGGTAACCTTGCTATTAATTTGAAATACTGGTGTCATAGCTTCCAGCATCGTAGCAACATGTGAGCCACCACCATATGACAAACTGATGTTGTTAGGTGCCATTGAGTCAGTTATGACTGATAACGATCCTGTATACAGCAGAACAAAACACTGCCTGGTGACAAACTGGTGAGTGGTGGAAAATTTTTTAAAATTATGTCTTATTCATATAAATGATGATGTTTTCATGAACATTAGCTCATTTCCCATTGCTTTCAAGTCAGTTCTGACTCATGACGACCTCATGTGTTGCAGAGTATAATTGAGCTCCATAGGGTTTTTCTTGGCTGGAATCTTGATGGAAGCAGATTGCTGGACCTTTCTTCTTCTGCGCTGCTGAGCGGATTTGAACCACCAACTTTTCAATCAGTAGTCTAGCACAAACCCGGGGACCACCTTAGCTCGTTGTTGTCGTTCTTGTTGTTAGGTGCCATCGAGTCAGTTCCAGCTCATACTGACCCTATCTGTGTATAACAGAATGAAATGCTGTCCGGTCCTGCACCATCTTCACAGTTGTTGCTGTGTTTGAGCCCATTGTTGTAGCCACTGTGTCAGTCTGTCTCCTTAAAGGTCTTCCTGTTTTTTGCTGACTCCCTACTTTACCAAGTCCCGCCTGATAAATGTCCAAAGTATGTGAGATGATGTCTAACCATCTTCTCTTCTGAGGAGCATTCTGGCTGTACTTCTTCCAAGACAGATTTGTTTGTTCTTCTGGCAGTCCATGGTATATTCAGTATTCTTCGCCAACACCATAATTCAGATGCATCAATTCTTTGGTCTTCCTTATTCATTGTCCAGCTTTCGCATGCATATGAAGCGATTGAGAATACCATGATTTGGGTGGGTGCACCTTAGTCCTTAAAGTGATATCTTTGCTTTTTAACAGTTTAAAGAGGTCTTTTGCAATAGATTTGCCCAGTGCAATATGTCTTTTGATTTCTTGATTGCTGCTTCCATGGGTGTTGATTGTGAATTGAAGTAAAATGAAATCCTTGACAACTTCAGTATTTTCTCTATTTATTATGATGTTGCCTATTGGTCAGGTTGTGAGAATTAGCTCATTAGGCATTGGTAAATATGAACTAACAGTGACTGCTTCTAAAAGCATTCAAATCTAAATAGCATAGTAGTCTGAATTACATAGGACACATGCAAAAAAAGTTGGAAAATAGTAAACTTTCTTGAAAAATTTTGTTGTTAATATGTCTGACTTTTAAAATATCAGTCCTATACACTGTTAATCATTCTACATTTACGAAGAATTATGGGATCTTAGAGTGGAAAAGTTGTTTATACATGATTAGTTCAACTTCTCTCCTAGATGGTGAGATGCAGATAATTGTAGTCAACTGTGATAATTATGTTCTATAAAGTCACTTCAAACACTGAATTAGAGAATACTGAGCCATTGTTCCTAGGGGAAATATAGAATTAGGTTCCTGTGAGGCTCTGGTCATAGCATTTTCATCAACCAATTAATACATAATTTTGTTTTATGTGTGTGTCTGTTAAAGATACATTATTTAATGTGTATTTCTTACCAATAATTATGCATTATTTCCTTATGATAAAACACTATCTAAGCAGGGTTTAACATTTCCTGGCCCTGGGTAATATGATCATAATTTTTTTTTTGCTTTCAGCCTCACAACAATGTTGTCTACTATACCTTTTTTTTTTTTTAAATCAGGAGACATCTCATGAATCCATAAATTTTTTTCCATAGCTTCATCGTGTGCTAGAGATGTTACTTTAGCACATTCTGGAGTGACCTCACATACAGATTGGCAAATTTCCTCTTCCTTTTTCTGGATGTACCTTATTGTTAATTCGTTAACATTGGACACATAGCCAACTCATATAACTCATGCTTGAATGAAACATAGCTAATAAGCGTATTTTCTCTGTAAGGCACATTACAGCATTCTTGTACTGAAGAATGCTAGATGGCTTTCAGACATGATAAAAACAGACATGTCTTCAAGTCAATAAAATAACAATATTTACCTTATATAAAATGAGCATATATGTAAAATTCTGTTATTGTTAAGTTTAACACACTGATGCTAATTTGAGCATATTCCTTTGCTGTATTATATTTACAGTACAAATATAATTGTGTGTACTGTCTGTATTTCATAGACGTTTGGTTATGAGTTTATTTTAATGTAGCATTAAAGGGTGTCTGTGTGACTGTGTATGTGTGTGTCTTGTCTCACATCCACCAACTCTAAATATTTTTACCAACACCAACTGCAAATGTGGTTCTTATAATTCTGATCCTTACTGTTCTAGGTTAGATCTCACAAGTTAAAGAGCACAGTCCTTCAGACTGCCAAGTGTAAGATTTCAGACACTAGCCATAAGCTCAGGGATTCCCAGGGTCACCTTCACTACTGATTTGCTGGCTGCAAATTTGGTGCTTCCCATTACCCCCTCAGGTTTAATAGTTCACTAGAACAACTCACAGAGCTCGAGAAAGTACTACACTCATGATTACACTTTTATTATAGTAAAAAGGATACAAATGAAGACACAAATCCGGTGAGATTTGAAGGGTCCCTAGTGTGAAGCTTCTGTGCCCCAAGGGATCATCCTCTGGTACATGGATGTCACCAACCAGGAAGCTCACTTACACTTTAGTGTCCAGAGTTTTATGTATGAATGTATGTGTGTTTCACTTCATAGGCATGATTGATTGAATCATTGCCCATGTAGTTGAACTCAGCCTCCAGCCTTCCTCCTCTGAGTTGGTGCCTCTTTCTGGCATGTTCAGCCCCCATCTGACAGTCATTTTGTTAAGCATAACAAACATTCCAGTCAGGAAATTCCAAGGGTTTAGAGGTTACCTCCCACCAAAACCAAACCAAACCCATTGCCTTTGAGTCGATTCTAACTCATAGTGACCCTATAGGACAGAGTAGAACTGCCCCACAGAGTTTCCAAGGAGTGCCTGGTGGATTCGAACTGCTGACCTTTTGGTTAGCAGCCATAGCACTTAACCACTACACCACCAGGGTTACCTCCTAGGAGCCAGGTAAAAAACCACATTCTTTTGGTAAATTTAGTTGTATATCTCAAAAGTATATCTGCCAATTTTCACATATGATGCAACTTCATCTTTCTGTAACATATTTAATAAGTATTAGAAAATCCAAAAATGCTTTTGAGAGGACAGAATTATTTCTAAAAACACTTTCTATAAACCGAATTTATGTAAGAGTGCTTTAGACTTTTTTTTATTATTAACAGAGTAAAAATATTGATGTAATAATAAACTAGTAAAATCTTAGGTTCTATCATTGCTGAATTTAAAAAACAATAAAGTTTTGATTTGGATACTACATGCTGATAGAAAAAAATGTAATATTAAATATATGTGACAAAAATGGAACAATAACCAAATAGGATATATAAATTTCAAACGATTAGAGAGAAATAGAAAACCAAATAAACAAAAAGGCATTAAATAAAAATCAAGCAAGTATTATACAGAGAAGAGAATACATTCATATATATAAAGAATCTTTAAATATGAGTTGGTATCATATTCCTATTCTAATTTTAAAAAGATCTAAAAAGTAAATAGATGAAATGAGAAAGAACATCATTGGTGTTGAGATGCAGAATTGGTGTTCTGAGAGTCAAGTGGAGGAGATATAGAAAAATGCAGAACATTCTGAATATCATTTCCTATTAGAAAGAACAGAGGCCTTCTTCCAGAAGTGACTGGTTTCTCGTCTTGGCTAAGTAAAATAAGGAAAGTCTTGAGATATCATGTGCCAGAAAGTAAGGAAGCACTAAAGGACATGTCAAAAGGACACACAATATTAATAATGTGGATAATGATAGAATGATGTTGTTAGTTGCTGCATAGCTGATTCCCACTCACGACGACCCCATGATACTGTTAAAAAGAATTCTTGAGATAAAAGAGGTATAAAACCTAGAACTAATCTAGAATTAGAAGAAGTAAACTATCCCAGCAATATGTAGGGGTACAGGGTGACAAGTAAAAACAGTCTAAAGGTTGCATATAGGCAAGGGTCAAGAGAGACTTATGAAAAAGTATGGGATCATAGTAATGAAGTGGAAACATTTGAAGAGTGTACCGTAAGGATCAGCATGAATCCATTCCTAAAATATGTGGAGATTGATCCAGTCCTCACATTCCCATGTCTCCATTCTCATTATCAGCCCCCACCGCCCCCACCCCGGCACTGTCTCTCCCTGACCCTAGCCACCTGGAGCTAGGTAAGAGATCACAAGTTAAAAAGACACCATCCTTCAGACTGCCAGACAGGCAGATGCTAGCTGCAAGTTTGGGGAGTCCACACACCTTTTGACCTGCTGGCCACAAATTCAGGGCTGGTTTCCCACTACGCCTTCAGGATGCCAGCCGCAAGCTGGAGAGTTCACGCAACACCCTTTGTTTCCGACCTGCTGCCTCCTTCCACCTCTTTGGGTTTGATAATTCACTGAACTGACACACAGAATTCACAGAGAATATACCGTATTTACAACTATAAATTTGTTATAGCCAAAAAAGATACAAACAAAGAGACAGGGCAAGGTCTGGGAGGGTTCCCAACATGAAACTTCCATATACCAAGGGACATACTACCCTCCCAAGAGAAGATGTTTTTGTCAACCA